CGGGTTCCAGTTGGGGCCACATTGGCTGGTGCGGGCCTGAGGCCTGAGGCCGAGAGGAAGCCACAGGGGCCGGGAGGCTGTTCTGTCGTCTTAACCCTGCGTTTGCCAGGCTGGCCTTTCCTTGCTTTTTTAAGATAGGGTTTTGGCCTGAAACTCTGGGCTGCAACGTAAATGAGAAAAAGAATCCCTGCCTTCAGGGAGGGAAAGAAGCATCATCCGTCTGTCTCATTCGACCTTCTGCTGGTGACTTGGCCTCACTGGGGTTTTCACTTCCAAAGAACGATTTTCTGTAAATCTCTTTTCTTTGTGATTTTAATTTCTGCTTCTGAAATTTTAATTCTTATGGAAAGTCTCAGATTTATATAAGTAGCATTTTTTTAATGAAGTAGAAAATGTTTGAAGAGAGATCACTTTTATTTTTTTTCTCACTAAGGTTACAATTTCTACATTTACTCTTCTGTCATACTTATTCCTAAAGTGAAAAGGAAAATAAATGGGTATCTTGATGTGGAAGCGGGAAAATATGCTGTTTGGAATTTTACATGGAAAGCGCTCCAGCAGAGGCTCGGGTGGTTCGCGTTCTCTGACAGCAGCCTCCCAGAGGCTGTCCCCGGAGACGGGAGTTGACTTTTGAAATAGCCCTGGATGACGTTCCCGTTGCTTCCAAGTTTGGGGAGTATGAACAGGCCTGCTGTGAGCAGTGGATATGCCTAGCGGGATAACAGACCCGTGATGGCCCCTGCTTAGAAACATGGGGAAGGACGTGCCCTCTCTTGGAGCATTTGTGCCTTTAGTTTATGTAGCTGCACACTGAGAACCACATGCCCTGGTGGACACAAGATGAGGGGGAGAGAAAGGCAGGAATTGATCATTCAGCCTGAACCAATGTGAAATGGAGGAGCACCAGGCACCGTCAGATCCACCGTCTCCCTTGTGTGGAACGGAGGAAGCACCAGGCACCATCAGAGCCACCGTCTCCCTTGTGTGGAACGGAGGAAGCACCAGACATTGTCAGAGCCACCGTCTCCCTCGTGTGGAACGGAGGAAGCACCAGGCACCGTCAGAGCCACCGTCTCCCTCGTGTGGAACGGAGGAAGCACCAGACATTGTCAGAGCCACCGTCTCCCTCGTGTGGAACGGAGGAAGCACCAGACATTGGCAGAGCCACCATCTCCCTCGTGTGGAATGGAGGAAGCACCAGGCACCGTCAGAGCCACCATCTCCCTAGTGACAGTGTGGCGTTGATTGAAGGTCAGGCCTTGGGCCCAACCCAAGGAGGTGTTCTGGGAGGATTCTGTGTAGTCAGCCAGTTGACTTCCGCCTGTCAGTGTCTCACCTCCCGCCACCTGCCGTCTGTCCATCATCTCTGTCGTCTGTCTATCATCTCTGTCTGTCCATCATCTCTGTCGTCTGTCTATATGCATCATCTGTCACCTACCTGTCGCCTGCCGCCTGTGATTGTATTCACACAGGAAACATTGGTTGCTTCAAAATAAAGGATGGCACGTAAAAGCTGCTGCTAGGTTTGTACCTGTAACCTGTAGCAAATCTATTATGGGAATCTGGTGGATCTCTGTCTACCAGATGCTGAGGCAGTTCCAGAGTTGAAAATAACTGGACTTTTCACATGAAAACGTAGCAGGTGCTTGTGAGCCTGGTCTGAGGGCCACGGCATCCAGCACTTCAGCACATCAAGCCATCGTCTTCTGCATTTTGGTGATAGAATCAGTGTAAGTTTCCCCTCTGCCCGCCGCCCAGTCACTGAACAGGTAAATGATCGCCCCGCGTCTGCCCAGGTCTTCAGCGCACTCCCAGCCAGTCGCTTATATGCAGGGGTCTCTGTGTCAGGCACAGGCATCTGTGTGTGTAGTACACACAGGACCACCCTGGCTTCAGTTCGTAAGACAACGGGGTTGGGGCACAGTTCTGTGGGACGTTGTCTGGTTTTAAGGATAACTGTGTGTGTGTGTGTGTGTTACAAATAAACCATAGTCAGTCATCCATGCCATCACACAAGCTACAGTGTGTGATTTGTGCTGTGGGCACCCAGAGGCGGCATCCAGGCAGGGCAGGGGCTGGGAGAGGGCAAAGCGGGAGGTAGACTCGCATTTCCTTTGGAGAAGGGCACTTCCCAGGCAGGGTACAGAGTCAGGAGGACATATAGGGGCGTGAGTATGCGAGGAAGGCCCAGGAAGCCAGGGCTGTGGCCTCTGGACACTGCGCCAGCTTTAGAGTGTAAGACTCTGGGTGTGGTTTTCATGGGACACGGTTTTGGAGCTGGACAGACTTTTGTCTTAGATCTGTGGTCCTGAGTGAGGAACGTAAGTACCATTTGTGCCTCAAATTCTCATCCGTAAAATAAGTTGTTAAAAGGTTTAAACAATGTCGTCTTTGGGGATGGGCCGGCAAACCCTCCTGTGAGGAGCTGGACAGAACTCTGTCTTGCCTTGCAGCTCGGGAGGGAGCAGGTTGTGAGCACAGAGCATGTCTCCAGAAGTGGCCTGGAAGCTGGGCTCAGCCTGGAGACTTAGTTTGCAGACCCCGGTTTGGGGGAAGTGCGGGCCATGGAAGTTACTCAGTGGTGCTGCCCTTTCCCACCTCCTAGGTTTTGAGAGATGATAGTAATGTAGGATTTCTTGAAGTCTTGTCTGGAAATTTTCTTTGCTGATTGATTGGGGGCTTGATTTAAATCCAGCCAAATGCCTGCTCTTAAGTAGAGGCTTCTCCTCGTGTCTGGCCCTTCCCCATCCTGAGATTCGCTGCGGAGCCTGTATGGTGAGGAACGTGAGAAGACACGTCTGGTTAGGCCTGCCGGGGTGACTCCCGGGGGGAGAGGAAGGAGCCATGGCCCGGAGGAACGCGCTGGGTTTCCTCCAGCTGGGGGCCTTGGCAATCGGAGCTTTCCGAATGTGAGACAGAGTGCAACGTCAGTTTTCTTTGATGCTGGCATCAACTGAAAATGGAGGAGCAGCTCCCCATGCTTAAGTGTTCAATTGAGAAATTAGTGACTTGGGAGCTGAATGTTGGGTGTAGACAGGGCTTTCAGGATGGGACCTGATCATAGAATTGTGCAAGGCGGCTGGAAACCAGGATGCCAGAGCAGTGGGGCCGTCGGCTGGAAGAGCCACTGGGCGCGTTGCTGGAGGGGCCGGGAGGGCCGCTGGGCGCGTCGCTGGTGCTGAGGGCGCGTCCCGCTGTGCGGCGGGGCAGTTGCTCATCCGTCGTCGTCCCAGGTGCAGCCGTGTTCCATCCGCTCTGGTCCTTTCTTTCCTCTTGGCCGGGGCGTTTCCTCAGTTGCAAGGAGTAGGCTCTGGGGGTGCCTCTAGATGCTGAGCAGGGGGCGGAGGGGGCGGAGCAGCTTCCTCCTCACGCAGCCACCTTCAAGGCAGGACTGGGAACCATGGGGAGAACAGCGATCGGCTGCTGCTGCCTTTTCAGGGGATCCCAAGGCCGGGCGTGTGTGGATCAGGGGCTTTCTGCTCTGCCCTTGTAGGTGGAACTCCCACCTTCTCTGCAGCAGGAGAGCGGAGCTGGGTCAGCCTCTTGCTCTGTAATTCTGCTCTCAAGTGGGTTGAAGTGAAAGGGCTGAGGAGGGGGGTACCTGCCAGTGAACCAGGTCTCCTGTGATTGATGGGCCTGGAGAGAACTTCCAGGCTTCTGGCATCTTGTTTCCTCAAAACCAGATATTTTTCTCTGATGGTGGGACAGGCGTCACAGTGTGTAGGGAAAGGAGTGAACCTGACTTCACAGCCAGCGTTCGAGGTGACTCGTCCCTGAGCTCCAGTGCACGTGCACATGTGGCTGTTTGTGTGGTTCAGATTTTGGACATCTTTGTAAAATGGGTTAACAAGGCATTTCCAGAAGCGGCCGAGCAGTCTCGTAGTGGGCAGCTGATGGCTGCGGGTGTGGAGTGCCTGGCAAGCTTCAACACTTCTGCAGAAACCGTCCCTTTGTCGGCGGTGGCCGGCTGGCTAGTTAGCATCAAGGACACTCGTGGATGGGCAGATGCGGAGTCCGTGTCATTTGGTTCCCGGCTCCGTGTTCAGACGTCGGCCTTGTGTTCCGTGGCGGAGACGAGAACCTGTGTTGTGAGCTGTGAGTTGGTGGAGGCAGAGGTGGCACCTGAGAGTGCCCACCCTTCACTAGGAAAAGTGAACTGTGACCACCTTGTGTGTACATCATGATAACTTGTCACTCATTTGCTGTGTTTTTATTAAAGCTTGAATTTTTAGCTCTTCTAGGAATTATGGTTTGATCAGTCTTAGAAAACAATACAATAGGTCCAAGAAAATGAAGGGCGAGTGAGGGTGCTGCGCGCTGGAGTTGTGATCGGGAAGGGCCCCTGCGGGTTGATGAGGTGGCTCTGTCTTTGCTCGTGCTGGCTCCAGAAGAGGCGCGGCTGCTACGTGGCTCCCTTGCTGTCTGTGAGCTCGTGGCTTTAACGCATGGATTCTCGCCTCACCACAAGCATCTTTCTCTTCTGGATTTCTGCAGGTTTCATGCCTTTCACTTCTTCCCTTGGCCTTCGTCACTCCTTTTTCAAAAACACTGTGGTGGCTCAAGTCCTTGTGACCGACACGCTTATGTCTCGTTAATGAAGAAGATGCTGATTGGTGCTGGTGTCGGCCATCCCAGCCCCGCCAGCCGCAGGATCTGTCATTGACTGAGTTAACGAGCGCCCTCGCCACCGGGCTTGGCTTCCTGGACCAGCGGGTGGGGATGAGATGGCAGGGATCTAACTCTGGACTTCATCCAGATAAATCAAGAAGGGGCCAGAAACAGGCGTGTGTTTAGCAAATGAGTTTCAGTGACTTAAACGCTGTGGGCTTTTGTTCGAGAGCAGGGGAGGAACTGAAGTTGTATGATGTGCAGTGCTTGCTTTTAAAATTCTAACGATGAGGCACGCAGAAGATACAGTGGTAACTGTTTTCTTGGGTGCCACTGAATGATAAACTCTGTCCACTGAGACCTTGCTGAACTTCGTTTTCCTTCTTTTGCAGGTGACATCACACAAAAAGGATATGAAAAGAAGAGGTCAAAGTTAATTGGAGCCTACCTTCCGCAGCCTCCGAGTACGTAACCCCGATGAGTCGCATGAGTCCTCTCATTTCACACGTTCACTGCGTGCCAGAGAAACACCTGGAGGCAGACGTTCCCTGACTCCCCCGTCGGCAGGAGGCGGCGTCTGGCGTTCATGCTCCAGGCATCCGGTTCCTTTGCGTGATCACATAGAAGTCACAGAGGATTTTTCTATAAGTGTGCCTAATTTAACAGGTGTTTTCTCTATAAGCAGAGATCAATATTGTGTTGATTACTTTAAAATGCTGTAGTCGTAAAAATATGAGCACATTAGTGATTTCAACATATTTGGTTTAGAGGGCTATTTATTACTATTGATTCTGGTTTAATCCAAGGCATCTATTGGTGGCACAGGCCAAATCTAGACAGTGCTGTGATATCCCGCCCAGGACTCTGCAATTGTGAAAGCTGGTTGTGTGTTGAGATATGGTTGTAAACATACATGATGATTCTTCAGAAGGACAGTCGGTTTCCCGCCAGCGTTTCTACATGTGCAGATTGGCAGCTTTCCTGCACTTGAGCTGGGTTCTGTAAATGTCAGGAAAAAAGAACCTCATATTAGACTGGGATTCTAGCGCCTCAGTTCCCATCTGGCAAGCTCAGTTCAGCCCGAGAGTGACCTTGAAAATTAGCTAGGCTTGAGGAATGGCTTAAAGCTAACAAGCAGTTTCTTCCTGAAACATAAAGGCTAGCAACATGAATTTTAAAGGTGGAAACTGAGCTTCCATAGTTCTTATCATTGCAACAAGATTTTAAAAGGTTTAAGGATGCACATGTCCACACCTGCACAAACCCCAATTCTGTTCTTCCCGAGGCCCCGATGCCCATCCAGGGTCCTGTTGACTCAGCAAGGAAAACTTCCTGGGGCTCAGGCCCCAGGAAACTCGGTGTGGAGCTTCTGCTATTGGTAGTTTTGTTTTGATTCCGTGTTTTTCTTACCTTGATTTTTGAGGCAGTGATGTAACAGTGAACGTGTTTGTGTGGACCTTTCTTAGCAGAGGCTTAAGTCAGGGAGAGATGCCGAGGAACCCAAGAGAAGGGAAGCAGAGGGCTGGGCTGGAACGCTGGGGCCAGAGGCTTCAGGGCGGTGCTGGGCAGATCCTCCCATGGCCTGCGCCCCCTCCCTCATTCTCTTCTCACGGAGCCACATGGGGATAACTGCCCCAGCCCTGTGCCTGTGGGTTCCCCTCTGCAGGTGCCCTCACGTCCTACAGGAAGGTGTGGGGCTGACTGTAGGCCGTGGACGCTGTTGGTTTTAACTTTTGTGCCTTGCCAAACAAAAGTGAAACAGAAGCGGTTCCTCGCTTCCCAGGACGGTTCTCCAGCGCACGGTGCCTCCCGCAGTGACCTTGGCGGGCGCGGAGGGCGGCCGCGCGCTGTGGTCCCCTTGGTGGTCTGTGTGCTGTCCTGCATGGGGTCGGCAGCTCTGCTCAGCGCTGTAACAAATTTAAAAAAAACTAAAGTTTGAATTAATTAGTTTTTTTTCAACTTGTTACAGCAGCGAATGGAGCTGCCGTGGTTCGGTGTAGACTGCAGCACAGTGAAGGAGCGCCGAGGAGAACCTTCCGCTCTGCCCACATCGGGGTGTGCGACGTCCGAGAAGCCGCGGCCCGGGAGCGGGTGGCCAGCACCGCGGGGAACCGGCCTCTGTTTTACTTTCGTTTCGGTGAGCGCTGCTTTGCTGAGAGCCAGCCCCACAGCAGGGTACACGTTAGAAAAGGGGCCACCTGCCAAGTGCCATCCTGTGCAGACGTGTAGGGCGCGGCCCGGGGCCTGAGGTGCCCATTCTCCAGTGAGCCAGGTCGCTCCGCGGGTCCAGAGCTCGCCAGAGACCGGGTCTGTCCGTGGGAGTCAGGGCCCCGTTCTGCGTTGCCTGTTGAAGTAGAATGTTGCTTTTACAATTCCACTTTCTCAGCGGGGCACCACTTAGAGAACACCTAAGAAGAATACATGACAGATTATAAAACTTTTCTGAAAGCCACTGGTCTTCTACAGACTTTTGTCTTAGAGCCAGAGACCCGATTACAGGATGAGCTGATGAGTCTTGGCCTCTGAGATCTGCTAGAGGGAGCGATTTTGAGATTTCCATCTCCAAAGAGCAAAGTAAGGGTTTTTGAAATAGAAAAACCCGTTAATCATAGAGTATATTCTTAGCGGTAAAGATTCTGTTCAAAGGTCAAAATTACTTTGGGTGGACAGTATTGTGAATATAGGAATTTCATGAGGCAAAAGGGGGAGTTCAATGCATTTTCCAACAGAATGAAAAAAATCACATGCAGGTTGAAGTTTCAGGTTCATGTTCAGGGTTACACTTCAAAATGTGTTTTAAAATCACAAGGCCGGGTGTGGTGGTTCACGTCTGTGATCCCAGCGCTTTGGGAGGCGAGGCAGGGGATTGCTTGAGACCAGCCTGGGCAACAAAGGGAGTCCCGATCTCTACAAAAGAAAAAATTAGGCATGATGGTGCGTGCCTGTGATCCCAGCTATCCGGGAGGCTGAAGCGGGAGGATTGCTTGAATCCAAGAAGTCAAGGCTGCAGTGAGCTGTGATTGTGCCACCATATTCCAGCCTGGGGAACAGAGCTGAGACCCTGTTAAAAAATTGGTAAAATCAAGTCATAGAGGCAAACTTTATTATTACAATTGGCCATCGGGGTCTCAGAAGAGGACGCCCTGCCTCATCTCCCGGCTTCCACTGCGTTCCTCCTCTCCAGACCCCTGGCTTGATGCCCTCGCGCCCTCAGGAGCAAGTGGTGGAGCTGATGAGAAGGTGACGGCGTTGGGTGCTAGCCACAAGGTCCGTTTCTGAATTCATCTGCCGGAAATGTGAGGAAAACAGGAGGAGGGACCGCCTGGGCCCCCTGATTCAGACCCAGACACTGGACTCAGGCCGGGGGGTACTCAGGACTCGGGGGGACTCGGGATGGGGGGAAGTCAGGACGGGGGTGCTGGGGCCCAGCGAGGTTGCGTTTCCCTGCCGACCTTCATTTGGAGACTCTGCTGGTGGCGCGTGAGCGTGCACCGTGTGCTCCTGTCCTGGGAAGCAGCGGGGAACGCAGACGTTTCCAAAGCCGGGGCTGCTGTCTCGGTTGGCCCCATGGGACGTGACTTCCTTTGCTGCAGGATCGTCTTTTTGTTCCCCTGTGCTGCTGCACTTTTGCCTGTAAAGGGGTTTGTGTTCTGATTAACTTCCACCCTTTTTTCTTAACATTTACATTCCTACGTCTCCAGAAACTATCCTGAGTGTTTCTAGGATGTTGTTTGGGATGCAGAATTACGAGCTCCAATGGGGGTTCCATTCCCTGGGCCAGCCAGGCACATCCCAGCTGCTCAGGAGGGCAGCGTCTGTGTCGGGGCCTCCGGCCGGGATTCAGAAGCGAGTGTGGTGCTGAGCAGCTGCCTGGATCTAGCTGAGGAAAAGAGTGCCAGGAGCCGGGAATAAATGTGACTTGTATGTGCAGTGAAAGGCAGGTCAGAGAGAGTGCCCGGAAGATCATCTTCAGGGATAAGACACGGCTTGGGGAAGCTGCCCACTTGGCACTCACCCTTCTGTGGTTCAAACCCAGCCCTCATCAGTCTCTAAGCCCAGTCAAACTTGCAAACAGAGGAAATGGAGTCTATTGCCTGGCACCTTCTTCAGGGATATCTTAATAACATCATCGACTGGGATAACAAGGCCTCACTGCTTTTATGATGCAGGCCATGGAGATTGAGAGTAAAACTTCGGTGTGGCTACAAATAGTGGAGCCTTCCTTGCTCAGATACAACTCCTCTTTCTCAACTTCTTACGTGATTGTCCATGAAATGTTTCTTGGTACTGAGTGATTTACGAAGATTCCGTATTCCTCTCCAAGCCCAGCTTGCTTTTCCTTCAACAGCCGGACAGCTTGATGCCCAGGTGCAAGTTACAAGGACTCGGAGGGGGTCAGTCTGTGCCGCACGGTTTCCACCATGGGGTCGCGTGAGCAGCCTCCCCAGAGAAGAGGGCTCCGGGGTCAGTGAGTGAAGCCCACACAGTTTCCACTGGAGGCCTTGATGGCTGCCCTGGCCTGCAGGCTCGCGCTGTGCTGTCCGGCTGTTGGCTCTGATCACAAACCCGGATTTATCTGTTTGCTGCCAGGGCTCCCGATGGCCATGCTGCTGTCTACATGAGGAATTCTGCTCAGGCCGTGCCCTTAGCCATATCCAGGCAGTGTTTAAAGCTCAGTTTGGATTTCTCCCCTGATCCCTCAGTCTAGACCATCCAGATTGCCATCTCCGTGTCGTCCTGTCCCTGAAATACCACAGTCATAGTTGGGCGGTGGTTACTAAATGCTCAGTCTCCACCCCAACCCCCAGCAGCAGGACGTAAGTCGCCCGAGGCCGCGGCCGCCTGCTCACGGAAAGTGGATGTTGGGCAGGTATTTGCTGAATGGATTCCGGGGTGCGGCACAGAGGGGCTGAGTCTGCCATGGGGGTGGGCGGGGCAGTGCTTGCTTCTCCCCCACACTGGGTAACGGTCCCCACTGTGGTACGAGGATGGATGTGCAGTGTCCCTGAGGGCAGACGCCACCATGCCCACACGACACTCAGATCCACGTGACGCCCTAAACAGGCACCGCAGACCTTCCACTACCTCAGGCGTCTATCTGGGCCACAGTTTCTTTTATTCTTGATTTGGATAAATTTAAATGGCAGATGGTAACATGTAAGTGCTAACTAATGATCAGAATGACAGTGGGTAACATATACCTCAGCACCGTCCAGTCCATGGAATTATCTTTTCGGGACTTGGCTCGCATCCCCGTGTTTGATCCTGTAACTGGATCACATGTTCTCATGAGAACAGCTGCTCTGGCCTGAGTGCTGTTGCTTGCAGTGGCTGCCTTGCCCTGTCCCCATGGAGAGGGCTTCCTTTGAGGTCCTGTTGCAGACTGTCCCACTGGGCTTTGACAGTCATGAAGGAAGAGGTGCCCCGGAGTCGGCGTTTGTGAATTTGGCACTTTGGTTACATATGGAATGAGAAACTTTCTTATATTTAAGCACATAAATGCTGTTTTGTTTTGTTTTGTCGTCTTTAGAAGACGTGGCTGGCTGACCCCGGCCTGTTTGCCTGGGACGGCCGTTGGTGGTTCTGATTCTTCGTGTCAGCAGAGGCTGTGCTTTCCCAGGGCAGGTGCACAGCGGGTGCTGCTATGAGAGTTACAGTCCGGTGACCCCAGGGTAGCCCTTCCCGCACGACAAGTACTGGGGCAGGGACCGCCTCCTCACCTGGGCTGAAGGTCCCAGGGTCCTGTCCCTGGCTGGTTGCCTCCACTTAGTGGTTAGGTCATGCGGCAGCTCACAAGGTGAGGATCTTTAAACTTCAATCCCAGAGGAGGGGAAATGTGGGTGTCCAGATTGCACTGCCCGTGACAGCATGAATCCTTCTAGACCGAGTTGCTGCAGTGAGAGGTGGACCACCTGTATTCCAGGTCATCCGTGTTCCAAGGGTAACACGCTCAGCTGCTGGAGACGTGTTCTGTCACACACAGCTGTCGGTTTGATCCGTGCATTTATTTCCTGGTCTTTTTAGCAATATTTAGTGAATCGCAGTCCTCCTCCCAGATGTCAGGCACTAGGGAGGGGCTGCAGCTGAGCCCACGCCGTGCGGGGTGTCTCCAGTGGGGAGGGTAGCACCCACTTTGGAGCTGGGCATGTGGGTTTTGTGAAGAATCCGAGGTGTAAGCAAAGTGCAGAAACGTGAAACCCCGGCCCTGATGGTGAGATTGGCATCTCATCCAGCGAGTGTGGACCGGGGCTCAGGCTGGCGGATGAGACACAGACGTCAGACTCGCCTGACCCCGGATCACTGGCAATTTCCAATGCTTGAGTCCCTAACTGAGTTAAACTAGTATAACAGGAAAAGGGTTGTTAAGGAAATGTATAGTGATTTGCGGCAAAGATTTGGGTTCGTGAAAGATGGATAGAAAGGAGGACAGCGTGGGGCCGGGCGCAGTGGCTATTGCCTGTAATTCCAGCACTTTGGGAGGCTGAGGCGGGCAAATCACGAGGTCAGGAATTTAAGCTCAGCCTGGCCAACATGGTAAAACTCCATCTCTACTAAAAAAAATACAAAAATTAGCCCGGCATGGTGATGGGTACCTGTAATCCCAGCTCCTCGGGAGGCTGAGGTAGGAGAATCTCTTGAACCTGGGAGGCGGAGGTTGCAGTGAGCTGAGATTGCACCGTTGCCCTCCAGCCTGGCGACAGAGCCAGACTCCATCTAAAAAAACAAGAACAAAGGACAGTGTGAGGATTCACAGGGTTGGGGCCGGCAGGTGTCAGGTGCTTAGGATGGAATTTCAGTCTTTCCATTGTATGGTGTTTCCCATCTGAGTAAATACAAAGAAAATTATTAAATTTCTTACCCGTGTGTTTACAGCAGTTGTCTTGTTTGCTTTCTGGCAAAGTCCTTGATTGCACTTATTTTAAAAACAAGTTCTGTGATATGAACAAGAGCATGTAATTGAGGCCTGGAGAGAATTCAGAAACTGCTTTGGGACAGACCTGAAATACAGAAAATCCCCCGCAGTTCCACGAAGGGCCCAGGGCAGGCTTCTCGTGCAGGACGCTCCTGTGGAGGCCGGCGCGCTTGCCCTTGGGTGCCCAAGAAAGAGGCCAGGAGAAGCCTGTTGGCCCTCCTCCT